TTCCAATGCAGGTTCCAAGTTCACGAATGGCAGGAGTAGGCACCAGTACCTGATGGGTGGGCAGTAGCAACAGGGGTCTATGCAGCAGGGGGCACTTCTGGTCTATGGTTCTGAGTGATGCTCAGTCACAGCACAGCCCCAACCAAGGTCTAGGAATAAAGCACATGGAAATCAATTCTGGGAGAGGGCTGGACAGAGAGGGTTGAGGGTGAGAAACCAGAGTTCAGCACAAGGAAACTAAGGCAGAAGTCCAGATGTATGGAATGAGATGATATGGTGAGGATAGGAATGTGAAAGTAGTTTTGTTTTTTTTTCTTTTTCTCAGCAACTCAACCCTGAGAATATTGTCACATAAAACCCCATCCTAATCAGAGCTGGAGAACTTGGGTCTGCCCTTCAAGAGTTCTAGCTGCTGGATGGAAGGACAATCAGGGCAAGAAATGGAAGCAGCATGGATAGAAGTAGGTCATAGGGGGCAACACCTTACCTCCTCATTGCCCTTCTTGAATTTTCAAAGACCCCCGCCTGAAGACAGGATCTTTGGTTTAAAGGGCTGTGTAGGTCATCTTTTTAAGAAGTCAAGCAAAAAGATTCTCCTATTTGGAGCTGTTTTTGTTGCAAAAAAATCAAATGGCAATCTGGCTCCAGAGCAGAGATGTGGTTCACGCAGCTGCACAGAGAGAATTTACACTAAAGTTCAGGGTAAGAAACACAGCCAGGCCCCACAGGGTCTAAACATGGGAAGATCTTGTCTCTCTAAGGCCACATGGTCTCTCTATTTCTGTTTCCATTTGATTCTTCTCTTGATTAACAGGCTTCTGCTGCTTACATATACTATTCATGACCCCCCTGTAGCAGCTATCAATCTGGATGCTAGATCATTTTTTAAACCTAAAGAGCCACCATCAACTGGCCACAGTCCCTGTGCCATTCATCCAAAGTCTTTGAAGCTGACTGACCATTGGCAAGTTAATGAGTCATTGGCTGCTAATGGCAAGTCAATGCATCATTACTCAATAGGTCATTAACCAGAAAACAGGTCAGCTATTGCGTTATTGCCATGGAGGACAGAATCATACCATACTTGCACTGTTCTTCCCAGGGGATGTGGGCAAGCCAGATGCTGAAGCCTAAATAGTATAGAATTATACAATTACCAGAAACACAGAGTTGTTGAAAGAATATATAGCAGAGCAGTTGTGGCAGCCCAAATAATGTCCCCCAAAACATCCACATCCTAATCCCTGGAACTCACAAATATGTAACCTCGTATGGCAAAAGGGACTAAGTAAATGATCTTGTGATGGGAGGATTATGCTGGATTGCTCAAGTGGGCCCAATGTAATCACAAAGGTCTCTTAAGAGGGAAGGTCCTAGACACAGCAGTGGTAGATGTGATAACAGATACCAGAGATTGGAGTTATTCAAGGAAGAGGCCACAAGTTAAGAAATGCAGGCAATGAACATGTGCATGTGTCTTTCTGAACTATGGTTTTCTCAGGGTATATGCCTAGTAGTGGGATTGCTGGGTCATATGGTAGTTCTATTTTTAGTGTTTTAAGGAACCTCCACACTGTTCTCCATAGTGGCTGTCCTTGTGTGAAATAGCTAGTGGAAATGTGCTGCATAGCGCAGGGAGCTCGCTGTGCAGTGTTCTGTGGTAACCCAGAAGGATGGGATGAGGGGCAAAGAGGAAGGTCCAAAAGCAAGAGGATTTATGTATACTTAGAGCTGATTCATTTCATTGTACTACAGAAACCAACAGGCAAACCATCTAACTATACCCCAATAAAACATATGTTCTTTGGTTTCAAAAAAAAAAAAAAAGAAAAGAAATATAGGCAGCTTCTAGAAGCTAAAAGAGACAGTGAAATGGATTCTCCACTGAAGCCTCCAAGGAACACAGCCCCATCAAAATTTTGATTTTAGATTTCTGGCCTCCATAACTGTAAGAGAGCAGTGCATCTTCTTTCAAGCCACTAAATTTGTGCTAATTTGTTACAGCAGCAGTAAGAGACTAATACAGTGGGGAATCATAGGCCATCATCATCCTAACTCGACATGTACTCTGGGGTCCAGGGCTTCTCTAAAGAACCAAAACTACAGCTCTTTACCATTCAGGATGCAACTTGAGTCCAAGCAACTATTGCGTGCCTGTGCTCTTTCCCAAAAGGTTTGAATGAGTTGGTTCATCACTATCTAATATGCAGTCATCCTACCGGACAGAGGGTCATGCTAATGGAGCTCCCTGAGGGTTTCATGCCGGTACCCCTTAGCAGAGGGTGGCTTCTCTCTTGTCCAATTAGCTTTCGCCAGGGCAACAAGATCACTGTCAAACAGGACAAACTCACAAAATGTTATTGAGGAAAGATAGGTTTGGGCTATTTGTGGGAAGTAGCCTCAGGACATCTCCTGCAGCTGGTGGTTTTAACCTGGAGAAATTAAGAAACAATCTTGAGGTTTTAAGAGAAGAAAGGCCCTTTCTGACCTCTTTATACCTACTTTAATGCTGCAGCTTGTGTTTTCAGAAGTTTTAGAGCTATAGACTTGGGTTTCTTTCTTTGGGGTCTTTTGATCCAAGCCCTGCTGTCTCCTAATGTCAGTGCTGAAGGCAGTCCTCCTCCACAGGTCAGAGGTGACCATTCCTCCTGCCTCTCTGACTTTGCCCTTAGCCCTACAGTTTGGTTTGAAGGAAGGCACAGGCTCCCTGCCTGCCCAAGAGCAGTATTTTTAAGAGTTTAAAAAGAAGAAAAGGAATCTGTTGAGGCCAATTTCAAGTTCTAGGCATGAAAAGAGATGCAGTGTTTGAGCTTTTGGAAATCAGGATAGCTTAAGAAGTCAGAGACATTTGAATTACAGCCTTTGGGACTGGAAGAAATCCAAACAATTAGAGGTGTAAAGGCACAGGATTCACGGCTTGATAGGTGTTGATATATCCCCAAAACCAGATTTCCAGACCCACTGGAGCCTGATCTCATTTAAGGTTGCTGGAAAAATGCACGTAATAAACTCAGTCTGAAGGTTCCTCGATGATTCCATTTGGATCAGCCTTTTCCTATAGGGTTTTGTTTTATTTATTATGATTATTTATTAGGTACTTATGTTTTCCTTTTATGCTACCTTTAAGAAATAATAAAATTGGGTATCCCAAACCAGAGTATCCAGAAATAAACTGGTGTTTTTCCGTGGCATTTGTTAAAAGACAAGGATTTTTTTAAACTTGTTATTTATCATTTTGTGCGCTTTCAATGACTTGTCTCATAACCATCCCATCAGCTTTCTTAACTTGAATCCTTATTTATATTTCCCAGTCTCTATTATTAAATTAAAACCTTTAAAGTGTTTTAATTTAAATTTCATTGAAAGGATCACATGTATTTCTTTCAATTCCTTTAATAGAGATTAAATAATTTAAATGTATATATATTTTTAAAATATACATTTATATAGTATATATATCTACTCCAAAAGACAAAGTTTATCTACCATATCCTACCTTTTTGTTATACACAGAAAATTGATAATCTGGTTTCTAGCATAGGCGTGTGCATACCCCACTGAGGGTTGCTTGGAGCAGGGTCACAATGACCAGAACATCTCACAGTCTCCTAGGGAAGGAGAGACCAGCTCCATGGGCCAAGCGCCTCCCCCACCATAAGGTCTGACCTCCTCATGATGCCCACACTCCACTGGGAAGGTGCCAGGAGCTGTGGGTGGCCCTAAGGAGGGCAGTGGAAGACCTACAGAGGGTTTGGCCGGAAAAGGGCCTCAGCACACAGGCCTGTGGTGGAGACAGAGCTGGGCTCTCTGGGCACCTCTGTCTCCCTTGTCTTCATGGAGTTCAGTGTTCGGCCTGGCCACACTCCTGCCAACAGCACCTTGGAGGCAAGCTGGACAAACCCCTAGGCTGCCAGGAGACCTGAAAGCTGTGGGCCCAGTGGCCAGCATGTGAGGAGTAACGAGGTACAGTGTGGAAAGCCCAGTGTGTCCTCCTCACATGCAGGCTGAGCCTCCTGCTGAGGCAGCTCCATGGCGACTGCACGTCTGACGGGCTGGGGATGGGATGCTGGGCAGACGTGCCCGCAGCTTCATTAGCCTGGACACAGCACATGCCCAGACAGGATCTGGAGAACGGGGAGCCATTCCCAGCCCACCTCAGGCCCTCTGCACGTCCCAGAGGGTCTGCTGAGACCACCATGGTGAAGGAGCCATACAGACTCCACAAAGGGCTTGGCTGATAATGTGGAGGAAACTGCTGATCATAGTTTAAATCGTGCCTGCTCGCCTGCCTCAGGTTTATCTGCTTCAAGAATCAGGAACATGCCCGCATGCTCAGTCGCTTCAGTCGTGTCTGACTCTTTGCGACCCTGTGGACGCTGGTCCACCAGGCTCCTCTGTCCATGGGATTCAAGAATCAGGAGAATGGAGTGCTAATGGTAGAAAGGTGAGGGGAGGCCATAGGGCCACAGGGCAGAGAGCCCTGCCCACTTTCCTTTTAAATAACAAGGTATCCGGTCCTGCCCTGAGGCTCCCACGGGCACCTAGAGACCAGGGGTAGTGGCTTCAGTGCCTGACGGGAGGAACCGTTGCTTAGATCTGCTCTAGCATGGGGTTCAGGGAGCTCTGCGCTGTGGGATGGGGCTTGGGGTCTTGTTTTACCTCCATAGTTGGAGCAGTCACAGATAGTTATGTGCTTTTTTCAAATTCTTAAAACTCCTTATGGAAACTGCACATATTTTCCTCAGTAAACCCCACCCCCAAACTAAATGAAGCTACAAGCTTCAATTTAAACAGCTCAATATTTATACCAACTGTGATGATCTCTTACCAATCAGAAGCTCTGATTGGCAGTTACATAGGGTTTTGATGAATAAAATCCATGGAAACAAATTTATTATTGTCTGCAAGGGGAGAGTACATGGTAGATAGAATTTTCCAAAGCATGGACTCTAATGGTAAAAACAATACAAAGAGTATCCATGGTGATGGGAAGGCTGGGAACACTTAAATAAGAACACCAGGAGCCGGAGCAAGAGCAAAGAAAGGGTGTTGGATTGGTTTGAGTCTGTTAAAGTGAAAAGCCAGGCTTCATAGTAGGAAGAGTTTAAGATACAAATGGGGAGAAATCTGCCCTGTAACTTTGTTGGACTTACCTGATCCCCCCTTCCAGGTTCAGGGCCCTTGATGTAACCTTGGGAAAAGAGGGTTGGGGGATATGGTGTCACTTCGAGGCTGTGTGACCTTGAGTCAACTGTTCTGCCTCTCTGAGCCTCAAGTTCCCATTAACACTAGTGCCTAACTCTGCGTGCTTTTTGAAGTCTCCAGGTTTATCCCAATTATCTGATTTTACTGCTGCCTCTGACCTCTTGTGAACTCTGGCCCAGGCTTGGATTTAGGGCTGTGGCACACAGATCACTGGGATTTTTTGCTGAGACCAAACCTAGCTGTTCATAGGCTTCCTATGTCTGCCTCCACCCCACGGTTCTCTGCTTCCTCACAGGGCTGGTCCCAGTGTGCGCTCAGCTTTCCCATCTCAGCATTTCTTTGCTCTTTCCTTTTCAGCCTGATTGCTACTGAAGTTAACATGAGTCCTATTGGAAGAAATCAGCAAACCGTAGGCAAATGTGTCTCAGCGTTGGAGTGAACGGCAGAGCTGATCCATCCCCACAGAAGCAACATACCCTACCACCTAAGTCTTGCCAAAGGCAATTTTCAAATTGCCTTTATGGGGTTAATTTTTAAATATGCCAATATGGGGTTAGAAGATTTCTGAATACAAGATAAAGGTAGATTTTTAAATATCCTAGTAAACACATGCCTAAAACAGAATTTGGCCACTACAGTTCCTTGGGGATTTGTTGTCGTTTAGTCACTAAGTCGTGTCCGACTCTTTTGCGACCCCGTGGACTGTGGTCCACCAGGCTTCTCTGTCCGTGGGATTTCCCAGGCGAGAATACTGGAGTGGGTTGCCATTTCCTTCTCCAGGGGACTTTCCTGACCCAGGGATTGAAACTAGGTCTCCTGCAATGGCAGGCGAATTCTTTACCACTAGTCACTGGGGAAACCCATAGGGAAAAGCTGTTTCTTCTCTGTTTAAAGAAATGGAAACCTTAGAGAGCTACAGGAGAGAAAAAGAAACATCTTCAAGTTACAATATTAAGAGCCTCTATTAAGGTACATCTCTTGCTTAAAGACTGAAAGCTTTGGTGCATGTGGAGTTTAGCTCTGGTTGAGGGTGGAGAGGGAATAAACTAAGAAATGACTTAGAGGTTGTGACCAAAATGGTGCCTTTTGAGAGGGGGGTTGAGGGGGCATGTGTGGGGAGAGGCAGTTTCAGAGTGTGGTATGCAGCCTCCAAGATGGCCCCAAGTTTCCCCACTTCCTGGTATTAATGCCCTTGTGTTAATCCCCCCATCCTGAGTGGGAGTTGGTAATGAATAGTGTGGGATATCACTTCCAATAGTAGGTCACAAGAGACTCTGGCTTCCATCTTGCTCACCCTCTCATTCGCTTGTTCTGAGGAAAGTCAGCTGCCATGTTGTGAGCTGCCCTATAGAGAGACCCATGTGGAATGAACTGAGGGGACCTCCAGCCAACAGCCTACTGCCAGCCTTCAGTCCACCAGCCAGAAGGAACTGAATCCTGTCAGCAGCCACAGGAGGAGGCTTGGAAGGGGCCCCCATCCAGTAGAGCCATCAGATGAGACCACAGCCCCAGCTGACACAGAGCTCTTTGAGAGGAAAAGAGTGTTTGAGTCACATGCTCTACACACTGTACCTTGACCCTTGAATTCATTCTGTGAGATCCATGTTGTTACCTGCAATGTGTGGATGGGGAAATCAAGACCCAGAAGGGCTATAATTTGTAAAATGTCATGTTACGATAAGTGTATAGAAAATAGAGATTTGAATGCAGGACTGACTAACATCAAAGCTTACACTCTGGTTATTGTGGAAATATACAGTGTTTACTTTCTGTGTTCCCAGTGAAATTTAGAAATAAAAACAAACAGTTCAATTATCCCACCACTAATAGAGGCAATGAGACACTGTGCTCCCCAAGATTAAACCTCCCCTGGATGGGAGATAAAGCCTCACACAGCAGCATCAGTAGTTGCTCAGAGCCTATAGCATACCTGGGAATGGGGCTGTGGAGTGGGAGGAGAAGAATTCTCCATATGCAAAATGATCTTGTTTCTTTAACTTTTTTAATGTAAAGATAATAACTGAATTCAATGTTACTATGAGTCAAGTACCACTCCTAAGATTTTTACATGTTTTAACTCAGTATAAGGAAGGTAGTATTAGAGTCATTCAATTTATACATGGGGAAACTGAGACACAGAGAAGGAAGTAAGTTGCTCCAAGTTCACTCAGTTGTTAACAGGATAGCCAGAATTTAAACCCAGAGAGTCTGGCTTTAGATTTTCATGTAAGGTCCCCAGCACAAGTCTCTCTGGGCCCTGAGCTGTCACATTGACTGGGTTCTCAATGCAGTTTTGGGCTTGGCTGGGTTGGATTCCAAGCCCCCAGCTTTTGGGTGCCACTCAGTTACTATGATGCTCACCTCTGACTTTTCCCATTCTGTCTCCTAACCCTTCCCAGCTTGACTCCATCCACTGTGGCTCCTGAGCTTTCCTGGCCTGCACCCTGGTCCACCCCTGCACCCTTATCCATGCTGCTTCCTGGCCCAGCTCCCAACTCACCGTTCTACCAACTGGAGGCTCTGCCCACTGCTATGCTGCCCCAAGGACAAGACCAGATGCTGGACAAGCTCCAAGCCCAAGAGGCATGTTACTCAACCAGTTGGGGACAAGCTTATTAGGGTTGGAGGTGATCCCAATTCTGAGGATATTATCTGAAGATGGATTGTTTCCAGGAAAAGAAAATAGCAATATGGAGGCAGGAAAAGCATTACTGTGTGGATAAAAAGATGACATATGTAAATGAACCCATAGAGCCAAGAAGTTAGATTAAGGTTACAGACAGATATGGTAGGGAAGATAATAGAAGCTGTTATAGACCTCTCGGGCACAATGAAAACGCAAATCTGCCCATGTTTATGCAGATAGCAGAGGCTGTTAAAGAGGCCCTAACATTGATCATGTGGAATCTCAATAGCCTTGCAATGGACTAGGAGGAGAATTATGGGGTGGCAGGGAGGAGGGGCCGTGGATCAGCAGTGAGACTTTGTTGAGCAATCAGCAAGATCATGGGCTATTTGGGGCGGCCATCCAAAAAGCTGAAAGCAATGAGGGATGAAGAGATGGGGCTAAAATGCTAAAAGCAGCATTTTTAAACAAGTCTCATTTCAGCTTAGTCTTCCCATCTGTGGTGATTTTAAAAATATAGTTCCCAAATTGCCTGTAGCATCTGGGGAGCGGGGTCTGTGGGCAGACACCTGCTCACCAGTGAGGCTTAGGAATGGCATTTCTGAATGAGGTTACTATGGTTTAGAGATTGATCAGTAAAGGACACTGATTTACAGCATCCCAGAATAACAGAGCTAGGAGGAATTTTGAAAATGACTTAATCTGCCCACCGAGGGTAAGTGACATAGTAAGGTCACATAGCTAGTAACTGATATAGGCAGGGCTAGAACTCCATGGTCCTGAGTCCCAGTTCAGGGCTGCAGCAGCCCCTGGGGGGAGTGAAAAGAAAGTGTCCTTGAAAGTGTCTCCTTGAAGGAAATGTAGAGTAAGAGGCAGGTGGTTGCCACAGAGAAAAACAAGGGAAAATGAACCAAGATTGAGAAATAAATTCAGACCTGACTTCTCTTTAGAAAAAAAAAAAATTACCCCTCATTAGCTTAAAGAACTCAAGAAGAAAAAGATTATCCTAACATAAGTATGTACAGGCAAGAGTAGGAAAGAAGAAGCAGTTGATTCCTATAGAAGTCAACCATCCTGGACTTCCCTGGTGGTACAATGGTTCAGAATCCACCTTCCAATGCAGGGGACACAGGTTCAATCCCTAGTCAGCGAACTGAGATCTCACATGACATGGGGCAGCTAAGCCCACGAGCAGCAATTAGAGCCCATACTCTAGAGCCCATGCACCACACCTACAGAGAGTCCCTGCGCCACAACTAGAGAAGTCCCCGTCTGCCCCAACAAAGAGTCCACGTGCCTCAATGCAGACTCAGCACAGCCAAAAAGCAAGGAAGATGCCAACCATCCAAGTGGGCTGTCTGTCCACTCACTGATTACACTCTTTGAGGATCCATGAGAGTCAGCAGCAAGCTCTGTCCCTGTTCCAGGTGGTCATCCTGGAGCCAATTCACTTCCTGTGTCCACTCTGGCTGCTCTTGTGTCTGTCTCCCAGATATCTGCAACTGCTCCCAGTTCTGAAATTTCTTCTGGCCTTTTCAGATTGGTCACTTAACCCCTTTTCTTGGACCATGTCTTTCTGCATGGCTTTTAGCTGCACCCTATTTAATATCTCCTCCTGTCCTACTGAGAAACTCCCAACTCTAGCTGCAGCCACATCCAGGCCCATATGCCAGAGTTGCCCCCAGGCCTCACAAATAAAACATTTGGTCTTGACCCCTGCATTTCCACCTGGGAGTAAGGGATGAGGTTACAACAACTCTCCATAACCCATCTCTTGGGAATTTGGAGCAGTGGGACAAAAGAAGAAAATCCTTAATGCTGGCTGAAGAAAGGGCAGGGCAGCTGATGCTAACTGTACCAAGTGCTACTGGCTGAAGTCCAACCTCATGGCCCCTGCTCCTCCTGCCAGAGCACAGGTGTATGTGGCAGAGGGCAAGAGGTGGGCAGAAAGGGGCTCAGGGTAGAGGATTCCACTAATTCTCCCAGTTTTCTCCTATAGCATTCCCTGGCCTTGGCTCTCAAGCCCTGAGGTTTGCAGAGAGGAGGGAACTGACCTATGTTTATTGGGACATTTTGGTTATAAGTGACAGAAATCTAGCTCAAATTAGCCACAGCAAAAGGGTTTATTGGATATTGGCCTAACAAACCCAGGGAGACTTGGCCAGAACCAGGGCTCCAGTGGAGTCAGCCAGGCTGCCTCTTCCTCCTATCAGCCTGGCTTCCGTGGAAGTGGTGACTTTATTCTGCAAGCTGACATTTTCCAGGTTCAGGGAAGTGGCTGCCGGTAGACTCCAGTCCTTATTCTCAGAGCTGACTCTCAGAAAAGGCTGGTCAGCCCTGCAGGACTGACTGCCCAGCCCTGGACTAACCACACAGCCAGAGATGAGCTACTTCAAAGCATGGTGTTGGGGTGCGGAGGGCGAGGTGCCATGACCTCAGCTCCGCATTGAGCCACATTGAGTCAGGGAGGGGTGGGTTGCCAAAAGAAAGGATGTTGTGCAAACCAACAAAAATGTGTTCTCTGCAGGGACTTCATTACCCATTTGTCTGGGGAGCAGAGGACAGATTACTCACCACCTATAGCCATGCAGCCCCCTCCCTGGATGACATAGCCCAGGGCTGCCCTGTGGTAAAGGATCGGTCAACCCACTGCTGGAGTCTGTACAAAGACGCACCAAAGAGTTCTCTTCTCAGCAGTGAGAAGAAAATAAGCTTGAGTATGAGTCCCAGTTTCCACAAGGCCTGAAGAGGTTGGCTGGAGAGCATTTTCTACGACGATGACCTAAACCTGCGGCCACTCTGAACAGGGACGCACGTGGCTCAGTGTGAATCTCACTTTATAGCCCAAAGCAACCCCATCAACACAACAATAAACCCCTCTTCTGGCCGGTGGGCAGGAATGCAGTCCCTACCTCAATAAGGTAGCAGTCATACCTCTGATTCTCATTATTTCCCTCTGCTCACCCCAGACTGCAACCCTGGAGCCCCAGGTGATGTCTTTGCTGTGCTCACACACTAGCCAATCCCGTACACTGCTGGGGACCTTCTCCATCCTCAACTTCCTATCAGCTCTCATGGGCTCTAGACCCCTTGCTCCTCTTCAGAGTGGCACCACTGAGGCCCTGGAGCTCTCTGCAGGTCAGAGCGTGGCTAAGCCCCTGGCAGAAGGCCCACTGCCGGACATCATCCCTGACACTCATCTGGAGATCCAAATGTGTGGCCTCCCTGTCCTCTGTGAGAACAGTTCCTTTAGGTTCTGCTCGCGATGTCTCCTTCAAGGGGCTGGGATACCTGTCCAGGGGTTGGGGGTGGACCAGACAGCAAGTCAGCTCCCACAAACAACACTTCACCATCAATTTATTCATTCCATACTATAAACAGAGGCATGGATATCCCTATTGCATGTCAAGCAGCATTTAGGTTTCAGGGTCATAGTAGTGAAAACAACAGATAAACATCTTTACCCTTATATAGCCTACAGTTTAGTTTGAAACATAGATAATAAATAAACAGAAGCATTGTATAATATCAGGGCTTTCCTGGTGGCTCAGTGGTAAAAAATATCAGCCTGCCAATGCAGGAGACATGGGTTTGATCCCTGGGCTGGGAAGACCCCCATGAAGAAGGAAATGGCAACCCATTCCAGTATTCTTGCCTGGGAAATCCTATGAACAGAGGAGTCTGGCAGGCTACAGTCCAGGAAGTCACAAAAGAGTTGGACACAACTTAGTGACTGAGCATGCAGCACATATTGTATAATGTCAGATGGCATTAAGGCCTGTGAAGAAAAATTAGGAAGGCTGAGGAGATGAAAGAGGGGCTCTTTTTAACCCAGTGGTCAGGGAAGGACTCCAGGGACAGATGACATTTAGGCAGAGACCGGCAAGGAGGGAGGGGGTGAGGCACACATGTTGGTGGGAAGGTGTCCCAGGCATAGGGAACAGCAAATGAAGGAGCCCATGCCTGAGGTTTGGAAGAACAGTCGGGTAGGCAGTGCCCCTGGAGCCCAGAGAGCTCCACTGTGTATAGGGCATGAGCTCGGAGGCAGTGGAAGGCAGATGACCTAGGGCCTTAGAGGTCACCATGGCACGTCACTGTAAGGTGATGGGAAGCCAGATGCCTGCAGGCATGTTCCCCCATCACCACACACACACACAAAAAAGAGACCTTTGAGGCTCATCTGGATTCCTAGTTACAAAGGAAAATAAATGCAGGGTATGGAGGGGCACAGAGCTTCCCATAAGAGTTCACATCTGAACTAGGCTTTGAGAGCTGATAAGGAGTTTGTTGGTGGAGGAAAGAAGAAGAAAGCATTCCAGACAGAGAGAAGAGCATTCACAGGTGAAAAATGGCAGAAGAGCAGAACATGTTCCTGGGATGGCTGGGCACCCATCCAACTGGAGCTTAGCACAGGAGGATGTCGGCACAGAAGACAAGGCTCAGAAATAGCCGGGGCCTGTGGCAGCATCTCCAGCTTTGTTAGAAGCACACCATCATCCTAGAGAAGCACATCAGTCCCTAACAAGCCAAAGTCACTTTGTTCCTGAGAGCAGAAAAAACAAGCATGTTCTGGGGGGTGCACAGTCCATCTCCCTGCTCTTTCTCCCCAGCGTCCTCCACTCCTGGAGTTCAGGCAGCTGCCTTGGGCAGCAGCGAAAGTGCAGAGGTGTTTGAGGTTTTCTGAGAGTATCACCTTCATCCGACAAGCTCTTTATTTCATCTGGGGAAATGAGGTGCTATTAAATTAATTTCTGAGCTGTCGTTGTCAGAAAGCTAAGGACACAGGAGTAGCAGGCAGAGAGGACAGAGCCAGCAAGACAGACAGGGCAGCAGGGGTGGCCAGTCTCGTGAGTTCCTGACCCAGGTCTGCCCAGCAGACTCATCCCAACGTGGGCTCTGTTCTGCTGTACAGACACCATGTCAAAGAGACTCAGTAATTAAAGTAAGAAATG